GAAGAGCTTGAGGGAGAGCCTGGCCATCCTAGGCCCGTGAATCGATATGGTCCGAAGAAGTAGCAGGGTTGGCGATCAGCATATCCACCAGATATGCGCGTCGTCAATTGAAGTCGGTTAGTCATATTTGAGTGATGTGCCTGCTTCTTTGACAATCTCTTCTTGGTGACTTTTGGGGAATGCCGCCGTTTCTGTCTTTCAAGTGGCAGAGAGGTAAGCCGAACTGACCAATGTAGTTCTCTATCGATTTCTCCGTCTTTCAGATGGTTGCTCATTCACCTCGAAAAGTCCAGAATTGTGGTCGTAAGCTCAATATAGATATTTTAAGCCGCTACGGGCGACCTGACGAGCATTTCCAAGATAGTACTGGATATTGGCCAGCACAGAGAACAAGACAGCCAATGATGACAGAATCAGAATGAGCTTCCAGCCCTCACGGTACACCGGCGCATCTTCTTGACGAAAGACTTGCTTCCCAACAAGCCCCGAACAGTTCGCGGCCATGATATGAATGGCCATGGTGATTGACCGTTCACCGGCTGTTTTCGCGTTCAGCGATACCCACGAACCGTTGACGGGATCTCCACTAACGTGTCAGTCAAGGTTCTGTGTTGTACAGCATTTGCAAAGGGGTTGTATAAATCACGCCACGGCCATGAGAGTGCGATCGTGATTGTAAGTACGGCAAAACGTGCTGCTTTATCGTGAGACGCTGCCAGACTCCAATTGCCAATCTGTCAACTGAGTCAGAGCGTTGCCAACTGCAGAGGTTTTTGGATGAGCAAATTCGTGTGCTGAGGATGTGCTTACATTCAGTGCCCAGAAGATGACCAAGCCTAAGATTACCCAAAGTCCCCGAATGCGTGTTCTATCACTGCATTTAATGTAGTTAGTGAGTTACTCAGCGTACCACCATGTTGAGTACGTACGCGGCCCATCCCCAAAATAAGATCGAGAACAATAGCATCCAGTAAGAAATGGAGATCAACGCATTGGACTCGAGTCTGCCATAGCCCATTCCAGTTACCAGAGAGGGTGCATACGACCCGAATGCTGAGGACGGGGCGAGTCCGCAAATGGTCAGGCCAATGTGCGGCAGAAGTCTCCAATTGCTCAGCTAAGTCGTGGTCAGCTGAAATCCCAGAGAATATGGACAAGGCTTGACTTGCAGCCTGCTTCGTTTCTTGCCAGCTGATGCGTGGCCGGGACTGGGACTTGGATGGGTCATCCCGAAGTATTCTTGCGACCATGATCTGTCGCTCACGCTCTGTGAACCACCTGAACCCGAGTAAAGACGTAGGGTCAATTGGGCTCTTGGGGAAAAACGAGAGGAATGTAACACCCACGACGACCGTGAAAACTCCCTCTAACTGTGCCATCGTGTCAGTGTGCTCTCCCATCTGTGTAACCTTCTGCACATCAAGGCGCACAAGTGATAGTCTTACGATAAAAAGCCACTGCCATCCACCCAAGCTAGCAATGCCTCTCATACGAAGGCTGTAAGACGGAGTCAGAGGTGTTTGTTTCAATTCGTTATCAAAAACTCACATTCCGAAGGCAATGAGACCAGATGTCGCAGAGGCCAGCATGTTGCCGAGGAAGAAAATGGAGAATCGCTTGCTAGTTTCATTTCGTTTATACCAGCGGGTTATAGTGTAAAGACTACCAGGAATGAAACCAGCTTCTCCAAGTCTGGAACGATATCTGTGTTAGTCAAAAGGCCACTTTGATAGCCAGGACTGGTCCATGAAGGCCAAGCCTACTTATGAATTCGGCCTGAAGTAGTCGCTACTCACCCTAGAAGAAATCTTGTCACATAGTAAGCAGCAAGGCCCTTTTGGAAAGCCTGAAACGTTGCAATAAGGCCCCTAAAGTTTGTTAGAATGCCTTCAAGAGCTTCAAAATGGCACTAACAGTTACATACCACGCCATCATCTGGCCACCCAGCCAAAGTACGGGCCCAATCCGATAGAGAACCAAATTACTGGGTATCTTTAACTCGTTAGTATGGAAATAGCTGACCATTGGGAATAGATTTACCTCAAGTATAATGATTCCAAGCGACAACAGCTGCTGGCCGATATTGTACTGATTTTGTGTGATGCCGATGTCGCGTAGGAAAAAGTCTGTTAAAGCGTTGCCTCTGTGACGATGGTCAATGTCACTCATCCCGCATTTCTTTGATATTCAAGGTACTCACATGTTTCCGCGGTCAAGTTGTAACGCATAAAATCCAAGTGTCAAAAGAGGCATGATGGCAGTGTCAATCCTGTCACGCATGCCTGTTAGCTATGGTTCAGAAGGACGGGGTTTGCTGAGTGAAGGAGTAAGCGTTAAGTACTTTCTCACCAAGAGCCTCTCTTCTTCATCTGTCCATTCTATAGGGGAGCTTTGTTCGTCCTCTGAGTTGAATTCGTGCTTGACTGACGTCTGAACATCTTTCTCAGTGACGGCTGCAATCATGATGACGTTTGGTCGGCTGCGACTGAACGATGACTTTGTGGTGATGAATACCGTATCACACTATTGAAGCGGCAGCACGGTCTCACATATTCTTCACAGGATATGGCAATGATGATATAGGTCATCAGGCTTTTCTTTCCCTATATCAACATCTAAGAGTCCTACAGGGTGGTCGTGGCGCCATGCCGTGACGGGGTTGCACCACGTACACTAAATAGCTGTTGTGACTTGGATTTACAGTGGGATATTGTGATCTCCTTGATCCCGGCGCCCAATAACTCGCCTGCATTTCTCAAGTGGCTTGTTGTTGAGCTCAGCTCAGGAAGCCCTAGGAGATATCGCCTGCGAAAACACTGGCGACAGACCTCGGGGCGGAAATGCGGATCACGGAAGCGGATGACCAGCAGCTTCGCCTCATATCTGCGAGTTACAGCGGGGCGTTTTCGTCGCTTTGCTTCTGATGGTGGATCGCACGCGATCGCTACTCGGATTGACGCCATAATCACTGTAGAATGGGTACTAATGAAAGTCACGAAAAACACTGGCCGGCCTCGTAGATGCTTTATTCATACCGGGCCTGTAGTTCGATTGATGAATTATCTTTACGCCTCATAATTGAAGTTTTCGATCAAACGCCAGATTATTAACTGCAACTAGACGGCCGAGATACTCCATTGATGGACCGGCTAGGCAGGTCTAACAAACGGGTCCGTCAAGCGTGCGAGCCGTGTCGGTGAGTCCATGTCCGCTTCCGTGTCCGCCTTGCCCACGCAATGTAGGGTTCACATTATCCATGCGTACTCAAATACATCAGCCGAAAGAAGTCCAGATGTTCCGGCGAGCAGCCTGCTTGTTCGCTTTGCGACCGGCTCCAGCAGCCGTGCAGCTATGGGCAGGATCCGCTCCCGCCGGGAGGAGACATGGAACTACAGGCCGATAAGTCCCGCTCGGGTGGTTCGATCCTTGGAAAGAGAGGTCCAGACGAAACTGCAGTCACACAAACTGCCACCGACACTCTTCTGGTATGTTTAGGCAGGCAGCCGATACCTATTTCTCTTACGATAGGACACCTCATTATCGTAATGCCAGCTGACCGGGTTGCGTCGTCAGCACCATCGCATCATCTCTCTAGAGCTTGCATTATCTAATGTAGTTCAGACTTTGAGGGGAGATATATCGTCATCGTCCAATACGAAGCGGCCTTCGTCGCCTGCACTGCTAGTTTCCAGCCAGCTCGGGACGTCGCCGGCACCAACACGGGATCTATCAAGGTCAAGTTTGAGGGGCTCAAGGCCGCCGCATTTGTCATGCAATCAGACCATTCCACCAGATCTTTCGCTCAAACAGATTGCTGAGACATATCAGCGATATTGTGACTGTCAACCATTAGCTCTTTTTGCGAGTGAGGGAAATTCATTTATCGACACTTTTATCGATAGAGATGACGAGATCATCTGTGCCGTCATAGCCATGGCAGCGCGGTTTCTGGATGACGGGGGGTTAAAGAGTAGGAACATCTGCAATGTCGAAGACACGACGGAGAAAGCTTTCCAACTTGCCATGCAAAGAGTGATGAAAGGCGCAGTCGAAGTCTCAACCTTGCAGACATTCTGCCTCTTAGCCTTGTTGGATATCGATGGTGGGCCGATTCAAACGCAATTCTTTCAATGCCGGTGCTGACCTGTGACCAGCTGGACGGCATGACAGGGCGAGAATGCTCTGTGTTCTTGCGCAAAACCTGGGAAACTCATCTCAGATCCATCTGGAACTACCAGGATCTGGTCTTGAGCGAGAGGAGCGACAACGGTGCTACTGGGCTATAAGCCTGCTCCAAAATCTGTTAGGAGAACGTAGTAGTCACTGTATGGTCAGCTTGGTTTCTCCGCCACCATTTCCCCGAAATCCAGGGGACCCTTCGAAGGGATCGGTCCTCCTCCCGAGTCACACATCAAACAAAGAAGTCGCCTCGTTCAACGTTGCGGAGATTGTGACGAAGGTTTCAGAAGTGTGGTGCAAGGCGCAGGTTTACGTCAAATCCTGCAGTCCTTCGTTGGTTAGAGAAAGGAGGTTTCCATGGCAGCCTGGTTCTCATTTTACCGAAACAACAAACGCCTTTATGGACATTGCCACTAACCTTCCTCTCAGTCATAGATACAGATCTATGAACTTTTCGAAAATGACCCGCGAACTGCTTGAGGCTGATCATACCTTCTGGAGCTCGTGGTTCCTCAGCCGGCTGATGTATCACACCATCCCCTGTCTTCTGAACCACCCTCTTCTCTTGACTCTCCAGATCCACGGGAAACACAACGTAACGGAAGCTTTTCTGCACCAGGCTGCCTTCTCTATCACCAATCATGTTTCTTGGTTCATGCACTTTCTACAGATCATGAGGTCGAGGGACTTTGTCTCCAATGATTTGGTCATGGTTTACTGTACAACAGTCATTGCGACGATCGAACTTCAGAGATCATTGTCGAGAGAGGTGGGAAAGGAGTCTCACGCCAAGAAGAGCCAGGAGAACTTCGATGAATGTCTCAAATTCATTACGAATATGGAGGCGAGATGGGCGTACGCAAGTCGAGTTGTAGGCCGGCCCTTCCTAGGTGTATTGCTTATTAAGAAAAGGTCCCCAGCAGCTGACGTGTCACTAGTCTCAGATTCTGCTCAGCCTGTCTGCGGAAATGCCTTCTTGGATTCGTTCGAATTACTCTGAGGAGGAGGAAACCATCGGGATCAACCTTGCAAGGATATTAAATATCTTGGACTTCAGTGCGGCAGCCTCAAACTCGATCAACGGAGCGTCATCTTCGAAGTCTCTGTTTGGACCCTCCCTCCTAACTCCACGCGACTTGTTCGAGAGAAAAGCGTCCAGTCAAGTCACACGCTTGCCGCGGATTGACCCGACGGAGAGACACCCGTTTGCGAGTTCTCCTGGGTTGGTGCCCAGTCCGTTGAGCATGCCCCTCAGCATAGATGGAAACACACCATATAACGACGTGACCCTGTTGACTGGAGATTCGAGCTTGGATCGCGGAGCTGCAGAAAGGATGTCGCTGGCAACAAGCGATATTTTCAACACTTTACACGATTTCTCCCACTGGCCTTACATCACTGAACCACCAGACATTTAGGAGGGACTTCAAGCTGTCAGGCAGGGTCTTGAAGCATAATGAAAGAGATTGTCGTACCGTCGGCACCGTAGTCACTGGCTTTGTGCATGGTAGAAGAACGTCCAACATCTTTTTCTATCTTCCCAAGATTGGTCGCGCAGCTCTATGTGCTTACGTCCGTGTGACCTTCGCTCACTTAGTACATCCGCTGAAGTCCCTGCTTCTGAGGCCTCTGCAGATGCCTTCTAGTACTTGCTCTCTTTAGCTGTGTCGGAGCGTGATGCACAGCGGAGTGAAGGGGCCTTCCTGCCCTAGATCCGCAAGCGATGTATAATAAGTGTGGGGTTAGAATACATCTGAGTTCTGGCCCTCCGCAGCTAGGATGCCCCCCCGCACCCCTCATACACGCGTTCTCGTAGTCCCAAGCACCTAACCAGCCCCCGTTCCATGGCTCCGAAGGGGCTTCTTCCTGACAAGTCGTCGGTGAATCAGGAAATGGCTTAGTTCAGCAAGCTTTGATGTCCCTGGTTGCCTTCAAGCTTTACGTCTTTCTTCCCGCTCATAGTTAGGGGCACATGCTGCAGAATCTAGTAGCTTGGCAGATCTATTCAAAATCAAGGAGACATGATTTCTCATAGTTCTTCGTTCCACTGAACAACTATTGCAGGGTGTTGATCCAATGCAGACGCCGGCTTTCCAGAGACGTAGACGTCCCGCGTCTTCCTTAAAGTTTTTCCGTTATCATCGACCGCCTCCGCAAACAACACCGAGCTTTCCAAGTCATTTATTCCCTGGAGCCTGATCTTGGTCTCGAATCCATCCCTCTGAGCCTTACCCACCAACACAGCGGACTCACCAGTCGAAGGACGGGAGTACACTTGCCATGTTTTGGTCTCCGTGTCTCCGTTCCATGATACATAGATATCCACAAAAGTCAAAGTTGACTCCCGCGAAACGAAGGTCGTGATGGCAGGTTCCTCGGCAGGGATGGCCGTCCAGTTGGCGCGAAATCCACGGTAACTCTGCACAAACGTGGAGACCGGTGCCGAGTCCAGGTAAGCATGGAACAAGACCTGCCCGCCGTGGCTGAATTCTGTGACGGCACCGGCTTCACCCCAATTGACAAACACGTTGCCATTCGGCAATAATTGCACGCTGCCTTGAGTGCGTGCCGACAAGCCATCAGGGGCGTCGTACGTGCGGAGTGACGTAGCTACGCCGCTCGTGTGGTTCAGCTGAACGATGCGAGCGCGGGAGTAAGGGCGAATTTTGACTGGGGCCGAATGTGCGCCATTGTCAAAGAAAGAGAGGGTCTCGAGGCTTCCGTCTAAAGAACGGCCTCGGAAACGGGCGTGGTGTTGGAACGCGAAGGCCTCGGTTCCGGCGATCTCAAAGTCAGAACCACCACTGTAGCCTCCCAGCTGCCATAGAATTTCTCCACTTGTGCCGTTGATCTTGAAAAGCGCAGCTATGTTTCGCGCGGAGAGGAGATAGTGGCCCTCATCGTCCTTGTCGACACTATTGATGTGGAAGTAGTTCCAGGCGTCAGTCTCGTTGCGGCCGGAGCCGGGAAGACCAGGACCAAAGTCGAGAGGAAAGGCGCTCACTAAGATTGATATCAACTTGTTGTATCGTCAGAGGATATATTTGTATCTAAGACCTACACTTTGGATCGACGTGGTCCAGACTTTCCCACTCAAACAGCACGTCACCCGTATCAATATCGACCTCTGTAGTCATTTGAGTTAGACAGACCGAAAGAGAGTGAGCCTTTAGCGTGAGAGCTCACCTTGAAAGCCTCCAGAAACAATCCATCTCTGTTCATTCGAGCCTCCCCATGGCTTCAGGGGAATAATCCGCGGAATCGGCGTCTCAATGAGCGCTGTCTTGCCGTCCACAACGCGGAACTCATGTGCGGAAACCAGCCTGTGAGAGCCGGCCCTGACAATCTTGGAAACCTCGTAGTCGTTGCCGAGAAGCGTGTGATGACCATACATACGTCCATGAGGCCCATCAAGAGTTCCTTGAAAGGCGCGCAAGTACTGTTTGCCGTCCCAGGTCTCGGGACGAAAGTTGGCGACCCAGCCTGCGTGGAAGCCCGTGCCCGACCAGACTAGCTCGCCGTCGTCGCGAAAAATATAGGCACCCGGCTGGGTCGGGCCTTTGTGGCCTTCGGCAAAGCCCTCGTAAGGAGTGATGAAAATCAGCCCCTTTTCCGTGGCGTGGCCATAGGCAGGGGTTGTGATGTTCAGCCTAGGGACAGCGAGTTCAGGTCGGGATCGGAATCGCAGATCTGCAAAGGCGATGTTGGCCAAAGCAGCCAAAGCCCCGAGAGCATATGCGTGTTTCGTCTTCATGGTATTGTCAGCACGAGTCTGTTGTTGAGCAGTGAATAGTGCGGTGTTGTGTCCAGATTCATTAGCGGGACTTGCTCTAATAGCACGGGAGCTTCAAGCTAAAGTAGCCACTCAAATCTCATATGGAGACATTCGCCCAAAAATGAGGTGTTTCCGGCACTTCATGGTATCATCCAGTAGTGGAGGCCATATTGTCAAGGCTGGCTACTTCATCATGCGGCATACCAATCTGGTTCACCGGCGGGCACGGAAGCGGGAGCGGAAGCGGAAGCGGAACAGGGGTTTTTGGGCTCCACCACACCCAGCCAGATGCTCCACTCAGCATTGGCCACCGTGATGTCTCGTGGTCAAGGAACAATTTTCCAAGTCTGCTCGTAAAGGGGGCTATAATGGGGACCTTCTCAACTCAGGTTCTCGAAGCGGTGACCTGCTCGCCGGTGAAGTCTTGAACGATGGATTCTTCACACTTCTTTCTACGTAAATGCCCCAGCCGAGGAAGGATCAAATGGATTAATAAGCCATCCTGAAGGATGCTGGGCATGAATCCCCTCATTGCCAGGCGCCCAAGTTACCGTGACCGGTGAAGCAGTACGCCCTACCTAAACGTCCGCGAAGCCATCTGCCCCTCCAAAATTCCCGGAAGCTGCGCTGTCGCCAAAGTTAGTTCTAATACTGCACGCCTCGAGAGTAAGCGCCTCCGTGACGATGTTCTATCCATTCTCACGACTGCCCGCTGAGCTGCGTCTTCACATATGGAACCTCGCCGCCGAGCCTCGACGGGTGATGATACTCGGCATCAGCTGTTACTCTTACGAAGGCGGAGCAATGGTAGGCCACGAACTCTTCACATCTCGGACGCCCGTGCCAACCGTCCTTCACGCTTGCTGCGAAGCACGCCAGCTACCCTCGTACCGTAAGGCTTTCGCCAGTCAGTTCACCTCGGCACCTGAAAATAAGCAAGACTACGTATGGGTCGATTTTGCCGCCGACAATATCCAGTGCAGCGAGAGCCTCGTGTGGTGTTCGCCGGAGGAGAGGCCCCTGATACGCCACTTGAGAATGGAGGTTTACAACCAGGAGGATTTTGAAGAGCAAGGGATGCCCATGATAAGGGAGCTCACAGCCCTGAAAAGTCTCGATATCTTATATGGGTATGACCTGAAACACTGGTTTGGACTGTATGACTGGGATTTTGGAGTCTGTACAAAGAGCCGAATCAGGCTGATCTCCTCAGTGACTCAAGAGATCTGGGATGAGGCAAGATGCAGACAAGCTGAAAAGAAGCATCTCGAGGAGGCAGTCAGCGATGACGGTGGATCGACAGACTAATTATTTCTTCTGGTGAGTTTGAGAATAGGTCCAACGGACACAGCTTTGCTCATGGGTCTGTAGCTGAAGCTTGTCTTGTTGAAAAATTGGTATTGGTATCATCATTCCGCTTTTTGGTCAGACATGGGTACAGGTCAGCGATAACCTTTGTGGCAGCCTTGGCTCGGGAATCTATGCAAAGGCTCCTGACCGAATACGGGCCCTAATGAAGCTCAACAAACAATACATTTGCCTTCAAAGCCAGGGGCATCACGA